CCCACCAAATGCAGCAGAGTTCCTTGCACATGAGCACTGTTTACCAACCAAAAATGCAAAAACTGCCTGAACGCCAGTGAAGGAGAATGCAATAGCCCCTTTCTCCCAATGAATTAAATTCTCAGAGCTCTGGGGTTCAAGCTTGGGCATCAGATTTGGGCCATCTCATCTCTCTTGTAAGGAGCCACCACAGCAGCTCCTGTGGCTCAGGACTGAAAACTCAGCTGCCCCAGCAGGGGTTCCCACCATCTCCCCTGCAGAATGCCAGCCCTTGCCCTTGTTTCTCTGGCAAAGGAGAACAGAAAGATGGCAGATGAGAAGGGAGGAAAGAGGACTTAGCAAGGGTGGGGTAGTGCAAGGCAGCACAGGGATTAGAGCAAGGCGCTGTCTGCACTGGCCAACAGGCTCTAGAAGAGCTGGGAGTGGCAGGAAGCCCTGTCACAGCAAGTCTCCAAGCAGGGTTCGAGGCCCTGCTTCTTGTTCACACAGGCACTGCACAGAAATTTTCAATCATAGGCGCCTGGCCTTCCCACTCAAGTCCTAAGTCAGAGTGATTAACAGAGGCTGCCAGGGCAGGCAGGCAGGAAAGTCAGAACACATGGGCTAAAGAGCAAAATGAAAAGAACCCTGAAGGAAAGAAGACCCTCAGTGATGCCCATGGGCGTGGCTGAGACCTGGGGGCAGTAGCCTCGTCTACACAGTGCTGCAGGCTAAGTACTCACAGGGAAGCTTGGCCATGGTCCCCTGCTTTGACATTTAGCTGAGGATGAGACAGCTGGGAGTTCTCCCATGGAATCAAAAGCACCGATAACCACAACCAGTCACACCCTCATCACCTGCTCATCTGTGCAAGCCTCAGACAGCTTTGATTTCTTCCTACCATATTTTCTCTCCAGTCCTCAGGAAAGGAGTCAATGACTGATGTGCAAGACTATGAAAGGCACAAGATGGGTGATTCAGCCACCTCCAACCCCACCCTGTCCCACCTGACTGCAGCAGAAGCTCATAATCTCTGGGCTTTGGGGACTGTCAGGGTGACAGGAGAAGGTGCTCCTCACTTCACTACCCAAAACAAAGCCAGAAAAATGTAACATTGGTGCATGTAACATTCTCACCGTCCACTGCTGGTACTTTGAATCTTAGTTTTCAACTCATATTGGGTACTCAGCACTGACTCCCAAAGCCCAGTGTCTGCCATGACTCCTCCTTGCTCCAAGGTTTTCGTTTTCTCTCTCTCTCTCTCTCTCTCTCTCTCTCTCTCTCTCTCTCGCCTTTTTCCTAATCGCTAGAAAAGCTACAGCATCTGAACACTGATAAGTTAATTCACTCAGGAAAGAGGGGCAATTAGGCCCCCTAACAGATTTCATTTAGAGATGTTTAGACCCTTGTCATTTAGAAACCTATGGCACTGGGTAGTTGGGGGTTGACAGTGCTGAAGACTAGAAATCACTGTGACACCACAGAAGAGGCTATCTATCCCACTCAACCTAGAATAGCATTCCTCTACCCTACCCTCCTCACAAGTCTCTAAAGATGAAGAAGGAAAGGAACTGGAGACAAGGAGAAAAGCCCTTCTCTAGCTTTGGTCAATCGTGCATTATGCTTCATTCATGAAACAATTACTGTGAGCCTAAGTGCCAGGCGCCATTCTCAGAATACAGAGATGAATACAACACTGTCCCTGAGGAATGAACCCACACTTGCCTGCTTCTTGCATAATACTGCAACGCACTCCCATCAAGTAAGGTCACAGCAATGGGCACAAGCATCAACAGGGTTTATCAATGGAAAATGGACAGGTCTGCAGTGCCTGCATGCTACCTAGGGGTCCATCAAGCTTAAAAAAAAAAAAGTACGATGGATGCCAGTACAACCTCAAGTCAATGCAGACCACAGGGTGAGATACTGCTGTGTTGAAAAGCACACCTCTAAGCTGCCTAGTTGCCAGAAGTGCAAAATAAAGCTTGGCTCACAATTAGGCTAGGAAACAAAACTCTGGAGGCAAAAGCACAACCCAAGGCAGCAATAAAATACTAAACAAAGGGTGTTTTTTTCATCTTAATTTCAAAGCCACAGATTCAGCAAAATGAATTAGCTCCTTACTGGCAATTAACACCTTCACAAGTTCAAGTTTACTTAAGAGAAAGGTTACACATTATAAAAACCTTCTAATTTGTTACTAATTAGAAAGGCTGGCTGGCATGAATAAGTGCAAATTTGGGAAAGAAAATGTGCCAAATACTGTGGCATTTTTTTTTTTTTAAAGAAGAACAGAAGGGGATACAGGTAACATTTACTGAGAAGTTGAGTTCCAGGCCCCCATGTATAAAACCTTTCCTTTATTCAGTAATCACAGCATTCCCAGAAAGTAAAGAGTAGTGAGCCCATTTTGCTCCCAGATAGGGAGCCTAACGCTCAGATATGAAGTACCATTTACCATATTTCTTCCACATCCCTTGGCAAAATTCCTAATTGTCTGCATCAATGTTTCTCAGGAGTTTGGGTAAACTGGCCATCACTTGTCTTGACTTGGAAATGCCTTCTGAAATTATTGTGCACAGCAAGACTTTCACAGTTGCTGGCCCATGGGTGCATAATAGAAAATAGAAATAGCAGCCCTAGTAGCAGCTGCCACACATCCCAGGAGAGGATGGACAAGGTCACTCCTGGCAGTAGATGAAAACTGAAGATCTCAAGTGTCTTTGGACATTGAGACCCAAGACTCAAGAGGAGGGCACCTCTCAAAGTATCTACCTCCCAGTGTTTCAAAAGATGCTTATCTGATGGCTTCGGGCTCCGAAGAAAAATTCATCCACCTTTTAAAGCCAGTTACAAAACCAACATGAATATATTCACCCTGCTCTCCACAGATGTTGAATACCTATCACAGGCCAGGTGTTGCCGGGCTAGGAAGTTAGAAGTCAGAATAACGGTCTCCAACCTCAAGGCACTTGGCACCTAGTGAGAGATATTAGGATAGATTTAAGCCCAGGTGTCAGGCAAGCTCAGTGTAGGAGGTGCCTGGGCAGGTGGAGGTGATGGGAAATTGGGACAGGTTCCCAGAGGAAATGAGGGTTTTTGTTATTTTTTGTACTGAGGATTGAACCCAGAGCCTTTGCACTGAGCAATAACCCCAGTCCCTGTTTAAAAAATATTTTAGAGATAGTCTTACTAAGTCCCTAAATTGCTCTGGCTGGGCTCAAATTTGGAGTACTCCTGCCTCAGCCTCCCAGAGTGCCGGGATGACAGGCTGGCTGCGAAGTTTTTCTCCAGTCTTGCAAGACCATGTGGTAGTAACCGGAGAGGGCCAGGTCAATGCTACAAACACCGCCTTTGCAAAGAGATGGGAATCATATTTGCAGCCAAAGTTTAAAGCGCTTCCTTCGTTCCTCAGGTTGAGATCTCAACATGATTCAGACTCAGTATCTCCTATTTACTAGACAGATCCTTTAGCCAAGTAAGTCACTAGAAAGTAAAATAAGCTCTGTGTAGTCTACATGCACTTCTTGTTTTTGGAAGGTCTGGCTTCACTGGTATATTGACCATAAGAAATATGACTGATTCTGTACGTCGTAAACAAGAAACTGTCAAAAACACTGTGGAATGTCCACAGGTTGGAGTGTCCCACACTTGGGGACACAAAATAGTGATAGAACATGATCAATGCTATTTGAAGGGTAAAGCGGAAGTAAGCCAGGTCCCCCTACCCCTGGTCTCAAGCTCAAGGTAAATGTGGTCTTGGCTTTTTGATTCTGTAGCATCTGAAGCCTTGTCCTGCTATCAAGTGTAACAATAAAAAGTTAGATCCAGTTTGTGTATGTATGTGCAAAAGGACTTAGAGAGACAGAGAGAGAAAAAACGAGAGAGCGCACGAGCGAGAGAGCGCAAGACCAGCACTTTTGATGATGCAGCTGGGAGCGCCAGCTGATCTTTGAACTCAAACCAAAGCCAGTCCAATGGTAGTGCTGTCCCCGCATTGGAACCAGGTTGTTATGCCCCTCGGGTGGCCGTAATCATAAGCAAAGCAAGAGTCAAATGAGTTGAGTTTCTCTCTCCTGGGGCAGGGAGGGGAGGCAGAAGCCGGCAAGTCCTCCCGGCTCCGCCATGTCTCTGGCCTACAAGAAACAGGCTCATTTCCCCTTGGCAAGGAGCCTGGCGCAGCTGGCAGGCCTGCCCTCCTTTCCTATCTCAGTCGCCCCCCCCCCCCGGGGACCTCTTGTTCACTCGGAAACCCCAACTCAGGCGTGGTGTGACCTCCACTTTGGCATCAGAAACATTCTGGCCCACACAGTCCCCTCCACAGCAAGAAAAGCCAGTGTTCCAAACTAGGTGAACCTGCGATAAAAATCCCGGAGTCCAGAACAAATCATCCATCCTCCTTTAGCCAGAAGTTCAAAGGAGTCTGGGCTGTACAGCCAAGCAGCAACCCAAAGCTCAGTCCGCGCGAGAGAAGGGGAGGCGGTTCTCCAAGGGCGGGGTTCACCCCAACGCAAGAGGCTGGCTGCCCCCCCGTGCTCCCCGGGCTGAGGCCCTGAGGCGCTGGCTTCCTGGAAACTTTGCGAGGCCGGCGGGGCTGTGCGTGCCCGGGCAGGTGCGCCCGCGGCGCCCGGGACCTGGCCCCGACCGCGGTCCTCGCGCGGCGACGCA